CCCCTCCCCCCATAGAGAAAGAGAAGGATTTTTAGAAAGGGACTTGGCAGATCCATTATCCTCATTGTCATCCGACAACAAGCTAAAGTGTGATCCATTGGAATGAGCATTCTCTTTACTCGGTGAGATTCCCGTCTAGTGCTCCCCTGCCTAAAGGTCCCTTTGTTCTTAGCCAATAGCCATGGTCCATACAGTTTGTCACCTGGATCATTCCCTATCGTTTCACCCCAATCCACGGTACCCGTGGACTGACCTCCCGACGATGAGTGGATGCCTTGAGAAACTTCCACCGACATTGCAGCAATGTCGGTCTTCATAGGACGGTCAGGGCACAGTGGCGATCCATGCCCATACTTCCCACATTCAAAGCAAATGTTCGGTAAATTCTCATACTCCACGCGTTGTGTTTTACCCCTGATGGTAAAGCGAGCGCAAACTGGCTTTGTTAAATCAAGAACTACTGCAAGCCTAGCAAACTTTCCCCTAGATTGTGATGCAGTTTGCTGTTCTATCTTTACCACTTTTCCCACAATGTTTTCGATGACTCGAAACACTTTCTTATGGTACAGGTGTACCGGCATTCCCGAAAATCGTATCCAGATGATTAGTGAGCGAATTTGGTTGCACGTCTCGTCAAAATCATCATTCCAAGGTTGCACATGCGCATAGAATTTCTTAAATTGTTTGGATACCCAAGGTCCACCCACCAACACATGGACCGCCTCCTCATGCGTGTTAAACCGGATTTGAATGTATCCATTCTCCAAGTCAATCATTGTACAACCCGACATAAAGGGCCACAAACCACCCAATTTATTATAGAGCAGATGAGGGCTGATTGTTGTGCCCATGACCTTGACAATTACCACATTTTTCCAAGACAGAAGGAGAGAGTCATAGAAGGATTCCTTCAGTTTGATATCCGGCGCGTCGAATTGATAGTCAACAGTAACATCCTCGTCAAGGGACGCATCATCATCGTCAGCATAGTTCATCTCAAAATGGGCCTGATTTTTACTCAGCATATCCCGAAAGCTCTACCAAAAGAGGGTTACTGGTGGCCTTTGGATCTCAAATTTACCTCCATCCTACGGCTCGCTAGAGAGCTCACGGGTATGCGTTCACTTTAGGACTCGAGTCGATTCAGACGACGGGGGGTTGGCAGCATGTAACGCCGGGAAATCTGGCACATGACGGTCAGACAGGTCGAACTTCGGGTCAACCGGATGGATAACGACGTTCGTGACCGCGAGGGTTCCTCAAAAGGCAACCTAGATATATTCTATTACGAAAATCATAATATTATCGTAACGCATTCCTCAATTTGTGCGGTCAATATTCCTTTGTTTTCTTTAGCTTTTCTTCTCATCACTATGTGAATTATAGGAAAGTGGGTGCATAAAAATAATGTAATTGTAATTAGGAAAGAAAGATAGATGAGTGGTGCGAATATATTTTTTATTTGTTACTTTTACATGTAAATAAAGGAAAATGTTATGGTCCCGTTAGTATAACGCAAAACAATTTGGCTAGACAGGTTGTAAAGATTCATCTCACATCATCACTGTTTCATTTCTTTTAGCAAAAAATATTGAGCAATGGTATCTTGAGTTCAGAGCCGAAAGCTACTTCACCTTTTACCTTATGATGTTTCACCAAAACAAACAGTAAATTTGCAGAGGGTTAAAAAAAAAAAAAAA